CGTCTATGTTTGATGTATAATTTGTGTGTGTATCTTTAAAATGTGGCTGCAGGAAGAAGTTGTTTGCTAAGAAACCTTTTAAAAGCCAGACAGCTCTCAGAGTGTGGCAGTTAAAGTCAGATGGGAGCTGAGCTCAGTGATTCCTATGAGAATTTCTGACAGTTTGTTTTGTGATTTACGTCGTCATGGTAACTCGAAACGCCACTAAAACTAATAGCACACCTCCCACCGCCGAGCCGGTCATTTTGATATAACATTTGGAGGGGTGCGTGTTACCCTAATCATGTTCAAATCTTCGAAATGAAAGGAAGTAAACATTAATAAATACTGAAAATAATACATCAGAACACAGTTTTAAAGCCTGCCTCTCTGATGGTATGGAGGTGCATTACCAGTTCAACGTGTATATAAGAGAATGATGAAGGTTAATTTGTATGAATTGTAGGAGTTAAAACTTTGTTATTTTTCTTTTGTTTTTCTTTTTGTAATCTGAAGATTATTTTTGATTGAATTTATTTGAGAAAAAGGGGCAGATATAAGATTTTTTCTTCTTCTGCTACCTTTCATTTAAGTTATGATTTGTATTTTTGTTTTATGTTGAATTTATGTTGTTGTTTTTAAAGAAATTAATAAATTAACTGAACATTTAGTCAGTCGTACATGTAGTATTTTCAGTGTTTATGAGAGGACGTGTTAAACCACTGTTTCTATGCAGAAAATACCAGGTAGAGCTCAGTGATTGGTTTTTAGTGATGCTCAGACGTAGCAATGAGACGAGGAACGTGAATGTTTTGTGTTTAGGTGACTTTAAACACAAAACATCACAGTTAATCACAACTGAGGGCCATCATTATGCTSGTGTGGCCCTCGGTGAAAATGAGTTTGACACCCCTGGAGAGACAGCCGCTGCTCCTCGCATCGAAAGGAGGTGGTTCAAGTATCTGATTAAGATGCGTCCTGAACGCCTCATTTTTTTTTTTAGGTTTACCAGGCATGTCTTACTGTAAAGATGCACCGGGGCAGACCCAGACTTCACTGGATGGATTTTTTTATTTCTTCTCTGGCCTTGAGAACACCCTGGAATCCTCCAGGAGRAACAGGAGTGTGTCATGGGAGAAAGGAATGTCTGAGTTTTCACTACTGGACCTGTTTGCCTCTATGACTCCACAGATTGTACAGATAAATGGTAGAAGATGGAGATTATTGTGGAAAGGTACCAACAAATTTATTTGCACTGTTATAGGGGTTTTGTATAGGTATAYGTGTCATAAATGTGAACACGTCATCATTAACCTGGACTTAGGGTTTCTWTTTTTATGTATTTGATATCCAAAAAAGGATGCAATTTACAGAAGTTACAGCCTTCATACTGACCTGTTGATGCAATCATCGGCCTCCTGCGTTCTCTGCAGGCGAGCATAGACCACAGCAGCAACAGCAAACGGTCCTGCGTCGCCGCACAGGAAGGTGACGTCATGGCGCCGGGTCAAACACTTCAGGCTGCGGCTGACGTACTCAAAYGCTTTCTGAAGGAACGAGTCTTCATTGAACACACTGTGGAGGTGCAGGTAGAGCAACGCAATACCTGGGAGCAAGCAAATACAAACTGAGGTAAAGATTTCTAATGGTTTGAATCATTTCTGAAGAAGTTTAAGACCATTCATCTTTTTGCGTGATAAATATTTCTAACATCCATTCTCAAYGAGCTGGAAACTGCAACAACAGTCGAGTTCATTTATTTGTTGAAACCAGAAGAGCTCCTTTTAGATTCAAAATAAAATTACAAATTCGTTGTATCTTAGTATTATAAAAATGTCACGAAAATCTGGAATCACATCTGTAAAGACAATTTTCCTGCTAAAAACAGAACACTTTGCCACTTATTATATTTTAACCAAATAAGAATATTTTTCTTTTTGTGTTTTCCCCTTTTTTAGATATTACTTGACTACAACAAATCACTTTTTTCATTAAATAGCAATGGGCCTCATGCAAGAACCGTTCGTACGCACAGATTTGTTCTTAAGTTGTGCGTACGAGTGATTTAGGAGAATTTGTGACATTCACCAATGTTTTCGTATTCTAAGATTTTTTTTCAGATACGAACAAAATTCACGAGTGGTCCAGACCTGTCGTATATTTTACGAGCAGTCAGTCTGCTGTTATCCAGACGGGTTTTCTTCTTTCTTGCGCACCGCTACAAATTTTTTTTCTCGATCTCGGACAGCAGGATTACAATCTCCGAACTCGTAAAGTTCTTCTTTTTTTACTTTGCGATGTCGTTTATGAATGGACACTTCCCGGTACTGTATGTGGGGCAGGAAACACAGCCTTATATGGTGTTTTTGGGGTGGTAATTATGTAAATAACCTCTCCTC